TTTTTCATTTTTTTTTTTTTTTTTTTTTTTTAGTAAGATAAGCAAGAAACGTGTTGTATGCAGGTTCTAAATAATTTATCGTTGCACATTAATTGGAGATATTTGGGCCAAGTTGTGCAGAATGCTACCAATCCTCGATGGTCTAAAATTGAGAAAAATATAGTTTGGAAAGTCTAATTTAAAAAACGGAAATAGATTTATTTCTTTTGGATATATTTTATTTCTTGTTCTTTTATAATGTTTTTCAATGGCTTATTTAATAGTGAATAGTATAATTAATATATGGTTTGGAAATTTTCTGTAAAATAATTATAAGCTTAAAATAGATCTATGGCTTGGTAATTTTAATAATTATATAGTGTAAGAGTCGTTCTATGGGTTGGCTATTTTTTGCAAAATAAAGGTTATAATATTATGGGGTCTGTAATGTGTTTAACTAATCTTTTATTATTTTGAGGGTTGGTAGATTTCTGTATAACCTGGCCAATTTTAATATTAATTTCTAATTACTTAATTCTATTAAACCTTTTTTAATTTTTTCTAATTTTTCTATGACAACAAGTAAGAATTGAATAGTCGTTTGTGTGCAATGTAACCACAAGACTTATTACTATTTTATTAGTACAATGACCTCTTAGCCCATAATATTTTTAATTTGATATTTCTTATTTGTCCTATTTAATTGTTTAAATTACTTTAGAAGTCTACAGTTTTTTAAATCTTGCTATTATAGATTGATCATACGCACTAACGCATTCGTCAAACGAATTAACTTCACTAAAAATCTCGCATTATAAGCTCGCCGTACATCGTCGTTGTTTTTGTCTTGATTTTGTTATCTTATCTTTATATTTTTTACGTAATTATTTCATTAATTTTTTTGAGAATATTATTTAAGGATGAGTCTAACTATAAACAAGTCGCTTGTTTATGATTTCCGCGACATTGTAATGAGGAACAGGAAGTTCTTATATTTAAATATAAAGTTAGATAAGTATAAGGTGAAATAAAAAAAGAATGAGATACTTGTAGTAATAAATTTTATTAATCATAACTATTACATATGGAGTTTTAGAGTCGCGATGTTGCTTGATCGTTGTGAAGTGTAGAAGACAACGACGATGAAAGCGTGTCCGAATTTTCATGTTGGATTTCTAAGTCTAACTTTGTATCTGAAACATTCGTGAAGAAATTACATTATGATACAATAATTATGAACAGGTTTACATACGTGTATGATATATTCGATATTGTCAAGTGTGAGATACCAAAACGACAAAATCGAGATATAATTTGACTTTTATTGAATAATAAAGATCGTGGAGGTTTTAGTATTTTAAGTAAACGTCCGTTGAATGTATAAAATTTAAGAAAAGAAGTGATGGCCATCGTAACACGATAGTCAGTGGATTAGTGTAACGAAAAACATATAGTATATTTAATGAGAAGTCTAATGGACATCATTAAAACATGTATATAATATAAGTATGCAATTATCAAAACTGAGAATTTTTTGAAAGTTTTGCAAATATCGTAACTGATTTTAACAAAGATTGAAACACACACTGATAGTGTTAGTATGAAAAGCGCCCTTTTTGTCTCAATTTTGATCATTGTCTAAGAAATCTTTGATTAATCATAAGTATACAAATCTAAAAACAGAAAGAGTTATATACATTACAGTAGTACGTGATGACTGAGTAAAAAATTCATATTGAATTTTAGTTACCAAAGGTCTCCTCAATCCAAAAGATCTCTCTGTAGCTTTTCCACCGACAAAGTTTCAACGTTGCATTTTCATCATATTCACCGCATCGTAGTAACAAATCGATATATTTCTGGATTCTTTCTTGCCCTTAAAAAATTAATACCACCGTTGCGTATACATTAAAAATGTTTATCGCACTCAGTTATTATTGTAATACGTAAAGGATAACTTATATGTACATTTAATCTATGTATTAATTAAATATTCAACATCATGATGCAACTTGTATTATGTAGATATTTACAAATTGTTAAAATATGTAAAATAAAGCAAATAGTAGATGTATTTCTATATACTTGAGAAAAGATCTTGGGTGTAATTGAGAGTGCGAGAACACACACGTATTTTCATTTTATATTGTTGTTTTCTTTTTATCGAAGTGAACAACTGAGCATGACAATAACTTCGTGTAGTATATAATTATGTATCTTTTAAAAAGTATCTTTTAAAAGAACCTTTAGAAATTCCTGCAATACATCTTGCTTGATCAGCTTCGTGAGTCAAATCAAGTCTAGTGTATAGGTTTAGTGCGTTTTCCAAATGTTTGGTAGATAAATGTAACTTTCCCTGCAGGAATAGAAATTTTGATTAGTCTTTTGTACTGCACAAAGCAAGTATTGTACAAATTTATTATTTGAAGAAATCAAAGCACTTAGGATAATTGATGTAATTTGTATGTTTATATATTTTTGTGCATATTTTTATTGTGAGTGAACTTATTTTTGTAGAAGTATTGTAGCTCAACATTTTTTAAATAAGGTAGAACAGCATTTTGTTTTTTTTATTTTATTTTTTTACCTGACTCAAATAGTGTTCGCCCGTGTAATAGTGTGCATCGGCGAGCTTTTCCAGGAGACCGAAATTTTCAGCGTTTTCTCGGCACATTCGCAAATGTTTTTCCGTGTAGTCACTGTCGCTTAGATGCTATATGAGCGACCAGTATCATTTACATCTTAAGAAAGATTACATTACACATAGAAACAAAAGAAGGAATTTAATTACTTTGTACGCAAAAGCTAATTCCATGTGCGCATTACAAACACCCTCGATATCTGAAGTTCTCTTGGCGAGAGCTAATAGCTTCGAAAAAGTTTGCAACGCGTTTTTAATTTCGTTTACAGCGATGTAACATTTCCCGAGCTCGTAAAGGACTTCATTTGTATATTCAATGTTTCCAGCTGTTTTTATTTTCATTTTAACTTTAATTAGTCTTATTGTACTTTATTTTACTTTAAATTTGTAAATGCGAAATAAGTGCTTCTTAAAGATAAGTTATCTTTAAAATTTATATGAAAGAAATTATTGACAAAAATTGGAGCCTGTGATCACTAAATCTTAAAGAAATTTAGATAAAAAATATAATTTTAAATATAATTTACAAAATTCTAATTTTTAACTGCTATAAATGATCAAAACCATTTTGGTTGCCGATAATCATCTATAATGGTTATTCGTAAGCAAAATCACTTAAACTGAGCTACCAATTTTTACATTCAAACTTTTCTAATTTTACTTATCTTTATGATCCTTGAATGGAAGTCAACAGAACTTACCATCGGTTGCTCTTTCTTTAGCTTCAATGCAGGCTTTCAAAGCGGACTGGGGATTTTGAAGACGTTCCGTGCGAACGAAAATCAATAGAGTTTTATACAAAAGAATGTTGCATTCTTTGAAGATACAATGTTGCTTTATTTCCAATTTTGCCGATGCGTTCCATGTTTTATTTTCTGAGTCCTTTCGCGCCTTGTTCAGATGATCTAGAGCTTCTGTTGGATTCTGTACTAATTAAGCGTATGATCCTAAGCATTATTTTTCAGAACTTTAAAGTACAAAGAGTTCGAGATCTATATACCAACATTCGTGACAAAGAAATCGACCGTATAAATAACGTATTAACGTGATTGTTTTAGCATCATCACCGTCTATCAATTTCGCAACTGAAAGAGCAAATTGATAGAGATGGTCGGCTATCCACCACCATTCCCATGTTTTCGATTGAAAGAACAGAGCCATATCTAAAAGTGTCGTTGCTTGTGCAAAGTAGTCACCTAAGTAAATTATTCATTTACTTAATCAATAAACTAGCATATTTAGTAAGAATTAGTGGAATCATGTTCTTTCATACCTTTCCTCTTACTCTTTTCAGACGCAATAAATCCATTTGTCAAATAGTTTATAAAATCTTGTTGATCTTTCAAAGATGGTTTTTTCCATGATAACGAGCCAGGCGTTTTTTCTGAAATTTTTTCATCGAAACCTAGAAGTTCTGTCATATAATCAAATGATTGTTGGTATCCCTGTTCTTTAAATTCGAGAAGTATCGCCTCATGATATGGCATATAAAACCTATTTATAATGTCGTAGTTAATAATATTTTTATAAATACGTTTGTATTATTTTCACTTTTATATGTATATATAATGACAATAAGAACCTTCTTATTTCTTTGGGAGTTATATTTGGTAACGCGGCTTTTAAGTCATCAATAACCTTATTTATTTCTTTTCCCTGAGCTTGGGGCAAAGTTTTCAATTTTATCTTTGGATTATCAATGTATCCGCTAATGTTGCTATCCGAGTTATTCGACCATTCTGTGCAATTCTTCTTTAAAAATTCTTCGACATCCTGTCTTTTTCCTTGCCTGTATTTTGCAGTCATTATTTTAAGCGTTTCTTCGTAAGCTCTTAAGAGTAAAACGTAAACAGAAAGGTGAAACAGAGGAAAGATGAAACATAACATCGGATTTTGCAACGCTATGGATGCATAATTTATTGCATAAGATAAATATCAACGTAAATAGTAAATATATTCATACATTACACGATGAACAGAAATATACATACATTTATACACAAGCATATAATCTGAGGGAATAGTTTCCCGCGCATGCTCGAAAAGTATGACGTTTAACGATTCGCGTGTGTGATTAAGTATTTTGTCACCCGCTGTGTGATTGTGCGGGGAGCCTATAACCTACCACGATTTGTAATTTTCCTTTGAAATAAAAATTCTTATGTTAAATCGTCCTTGCATTTTTATGCCGTGGCCGCTACTACTTTTCTAGGTTCGAGCTTGATATTGAAACCGTCTGCTCTCTTTAAGATAATATCAGCTTGTAGTCTGAAATCGGACTCCTTCGAGTTAGATCTTATGCGGAAATTTCTGAGGATCGTCGACAGGATGATCTTCAGTTTGAGCATTGCGTATTTCCTTCCTACACAGGATCGTGGACCAGCCGAGAATGGCACGAAAGCGTAATAATGACGTTTTGCGGTATTTTCTGGTAGGAAGTTATCAGGATTGAAGACATCAGGATTAGGATAGATGCTTGGATGTCGGTGTAGCTTGTAGGTAGCAATGACAACTGTGCAGCCAGCTGGGATTGTGTAGTTTCCACTCACTGAAATTTTCATTTTTGTTAATACTGCTTGCGGTAGAAAGAAAGCATGTAAGATGCGAAAATCATGATACTAACTGCATTTCAGATCTGTTTTGATCTCCCGAGCGATAATTGGTACTGGTGGGTATAATCGAAGCGTTTCCAAGAGGCAACGTTCGAGATATTTCATCTCTAAAGTATCTTGGAAGGTGGCTGGTCTGTCACTGTCACCAAAGATCTCATCGAGTTCTTGAATAACTTTCTCTTGTACGTCAGGGTGACAACCCATCAATGCAAGGAAGAAGCTGGCTCCGGCTGCAGTTGTATCGTGTCCCTTTTTTTTAAACATATCGTTTCATTGACTTCCATCGTGCTATATTATTATATTATGTATTTACATATATCGAATGTCAGTCTTGTTTGGAATTTTACCTCAAACATAATGGTATTGACTTGTTCTCTAACTTCTTTATCGGTAAGGATGACGCCTTCTTGACCAGCTTCGATCAAGAGATCGAGAAAAGCTTGTCTCTTCTTCTCACCAACGTCATCATCAACATCTAAATCATCCTTAAGACCGGTCGATTGACCAAACGAAACACCCTCTACGACGGTGGCGTTGTCGCCCTAATATTTACAAAAATATCGTATCGACAATTCATTATGTATATCGATTATAGATCGATTTGATCCTTACCTTTTCGTTCTTCTGAGCGCTAGTGTCGATGATGTTACGCTTTCCGCTCTTGTAATCTTCCTTCTTACGCGAGATGACTTTCTTGGTTAATCCGTGGATAATTTCCAACAACTTGATCTGGTCCTTTCCGTATTTTGTTAGATTGAACAGCCAATCAGGTCTGAGCCATACTTTGGTGTGACGGAGATGCAAGATGTCGCACATCCTACGAATAAATCACCCGTTATTTAATTTCGCCTGTAATACACGTCTATAATGTATCGCTGTTTCATTCGTTAAAGACATATATCTATTTTCCAGTTGTTATGCAATACCGGTTATAACTTGTACAGGACATGCACTCTGGAATATCGGCGAACTTTCTCCGGAGGAAGAAAACGTTTGCGTAAGAGGGGCGGAAAAATGTATACGTACTTCATCACTGCCATGGCGTATTCGAATCCACTGCGATCTTGAGTAGTCTTGGAGACACCCATGGCAGTTTCCATAAGAATTTCAACGGTGAGTTCGGACATATAATCGTGGCAGTCAAATTCTTTGCTACCTTCTTTGCGCATTCTTTCGACAACATCGCGAGCATTTGCGTTGAACAGGTTGATGAAACTCTTCAGCACGTTTAAGTGGAAGGTTGGGGCGATCAGTTTACGATGGCTACGCCATTTCTGACCTGTATGGGAATTACATTTTTAACTCAGTTATCTGTTACATTTAATTCAGTGCATAAAAGTTTCGGAAGAGCTCTTAATTGTATCGATTAAACGAAGGAGTAATTTCGAAGAGAATACACGATCTCTTCAAGAAAAAGCGTGGCTCAAAGAAAACCGAAATGTTTATGAAATAGCAATATTTTCGCGAGACACAGACAGCACGTTATTATCTAGATATACAGAAAAGAAAGACTAAACCACTGGAAGCGACAACGATAAATTTTCTTTCTATTTTCATCTGTCTTACACAGACAGATTGCAATATATGTGAACTGCATTCGTATGATGAAAAATAATGATATCCTATTAGTGTTACGTATATTCTCATGTATATATAATTTAACTTAATAATTTAGAAAGGCATGGTAGAAGAATGCGTCAATACGATCTACAATAGATATGAAATTACACGTTTCCTAGTTATTCCATCTATTTCACTAATGAAATTGCAGAAGTTAATTATACTGACTTCTTTTTATACTTTCAGTTACTTATAATTCAAAAGTTTTTCCTGCTCGGAGGAAGCGGTAAAGGGTGCGAAGAAAGTTTTACGTCAGTGCATGCGTGCTGGTCGTTTAAGACGGTTACACGCGAGGTTGTTACGTGCACGTGTGTCAAGCCCTGTTACGTGTACGAATAAATGGTACTTACAGATTGGGGGGAGGAGGGGAGAAGCTATCTAGACAACGGGAAAGTTACGATAACTGCACTCGCTCGTGAAACTACATCTCGTTTCTTTCACCGGCTTACGAAGTCGTTGTTGCTTTCGCTATCACCAGAAAACACTTATAATGATATTTCATGTTTTATTGCTTCTACTTACCTGTCGTAATAAGAGATTGTAACAATCGATTAAGATATTTTGTCTTCACATTCGTATGCAAAGAGCTCAAAAAATATTTGTCTTCAGAGCGGAATTATGATTTAATTTTGTAATTCGTAGACCGTTGATTTAAATAATACCGGAAACCTATTGCTATGAGGAAAGTCTTCATTCTATACTATTCGTATGTTTTTAATTGCACCGATTGCTATACGGTACAAAAACAGAGGAATTTTAAAACCAGAACTTACCAGTTGAGATGAGAAGACCGTCTCCAAGCCATGGATAGAAGAACCTGTATTCGGCAGATTTGTCGATGTACACGTTGCTGGATAAGATTATTTCAATGTCGCGTGGGTCAAACAGGAAAACAACTAATTTGGGACCAATCCACAACCTAACCACATCTTTGTAGTCAGCAGCTTTTGCCAACAAATTCTGGAAGATGGCTGCAATTTGCAAACAAAATCGTTATTTCCATTTCTTCGCGAAGCTGAGGGTTGTTCGGGTTCATTTCTCGTATCAAATTGTATCAGATGAATTCGAAAGTTAATATGGATTGTGTCAACTATTATTACTTTATTTTATATTTAATATCATTATTACTCTATTTAAGATTAATGTTTTACTTACTGTCGGAACTTCCAAGTAAATCCAAGGCATTTCCTATGATAGGCAAAGCTGGTGGACCTGGTAGACTTTCGGCAAGTTTGAGCATATGTTGCCTAGAGAGGCGGAAATAAATGAGATATAAAACGACAGCAGGGATGAAAAGGGATAAGAATACAGTGGTCGCCGAGAATCCGGTGGCCGAGGCGGCTGCCATTGATCCGGCTACTATTTCCGGTCCGGCCGTAGACATAATTGATGTTATCTGGAAATAAAAGGGGATCAGATTGTAATTGTATTTCTTCTCAAGTAAATCTTGATGAAATAACTTAAAGAACGAATCACGTTGTCATATTGGGCACGATCACTCGAGTTTCACAGTATTTTCAAGTTCAAAGATGAAGAATGTTGTCGAATATCAATAATACACTTGTGTCTTCATAATCTACGACGGGAACAAAAAATATTGTCACCCACCTAAATGCTTATACTACCTAAACGATGCGTTGTTGTCGATGAACCATCACCGAACTGGTTTTCCAACTTCGCGCGATCTCTTTTATAACCGGACCTTTCTACGGTCACCCCTACTTAGAGATTCGCGAAGCTAATTAGTGGCTGCGCCATGTTTCTATTGGAATTAATATTTGCATTCGCTCGTGCACCTTGTATTTTTTCCTGCAACTATTAAACTTCATTGTATTGAACGTGGGGCTATTTCTTATTTATGCGGTTTTTTAATTAAAACTATTTATCTTGAAAGTTTTTACAGTTTCATGCTATTCATTTCCTAAATAATATAATTCTTTTGATATCGAATGTTTGTACCTGAAATTTTTTTGATAAGATCATTATGGTCTTGTAATTAATCTTGTAATTAATGGTCTTGTACATACTATATACTATATATACTATATATACTATATATATATATATATATATATATATATATATATATATATGTAGCAATTCAAGTGTTTAACAGAAAAAAAATACAGAAACGTGTTTCCGGTATCTCGTTGCTTTTTAATTCGTATTTTAAAAGATCATCGATAGAAAATAAGCGATGGAAGCAAAAATCGATCGAAAATAAATTAAGGGGATGAAATAAAACAGCAATATCCAATTGATCCAATTATTTATTATTACAATATTTTATATTTATATATGATATTTATATTTATATTTATATTTATTACAATAATTTATTTATTATTATATGTTTGTATTTATTATACCTTTCCATTTTTACGTCTGGTCTTTGAAGTATGCAAAATAAAGCAAAATCAGCTACTTGTTATTTTGCAGAAATGAAACGCGAATTACGCTGAACGTAAGGCTGTATACGTGTATGTCCAATCAACAATTTTTGACATATGTAAAATATGTTATATTTGATTAATATTTTCTATATGTAGTGTCGAAGTAAGGTAACAGAAATAATTTTGCTTCAAGTGAAAAAATTTTTTAATATTATTTTTGGAAAAGCACCAAATAAGATTTTGCAAAAAGTTATGATATTTTAAATATTGTGACGATATTTTATAATATGAAGATATTTGAGAGTATAGTAAGAATGATTACATTATGTATTCATTGATGCATAGAAAGTTGAAGAGAGATTTCTCTAATTTACTGTAATATAATATTCATTTCCATTAGAGAGAATATAACTAAAAAAAATTCGTAGCAAAAGGAATTTCTCATTTTGCATTCTTTTTGTATCATTATTAATATCATTCTTTCCATCTCATAATCGAATTGAATAACGAAAGACGGAATTACGTCAAGTCATCGAAGACGCAGAGAGCATTTCCGCCTTGACCTACTCCCCTATCACTTGTCAGCGGTTTCATAATTTACAAACAATGCTTTTTTAATTTCGTTTGGTTGCGCAGAAATTATTGAATTCATTCTTATAATTTGTGATACATATTATTGCCACACTCGAAGAAACTTTATCATAATATTAATTAATTCATTTAAAGGTCATTGCATATAAATATTTTGCCATGATGATAAAAATCATTAAAATAATTAGTAACGCTAGTAAAAATAAATTAAATCTTGTTTGTTTTAAGTATTTCATTAATCTCTTTTAAAATCTTAAAATCTTTAAAATCTTTATCTTTTATTTTTCACTATGATTTCGTTACTTTATCTTAGGAACTCTGACGTCGCTTATTGAATTGTCGATATTCAATCAAATAAAAATTAATAATTTTCTATGAATATTCTTAAAATTTGTTGCAATATTTTATAACATTGTGTTGTAATTTATGAAACAGTGTTTCAAGTTGAATTCTAAGAATAATGTAATTCACGTAAGCAATTCTTGAACAGGATGATTGATATTTTTGTAGATGACGCATAGTAGCGAATTGATTGGTTAAAAAAGTTTATTTTGTATGGTCCTTAATTTTTAATTCTCATAGTTTTAAGAGGATTGTATATTAAAAATTGGAATTAACAAAAAATCTTGTTTAAAATATTGTGTACTTTTATCTACGATTTTAGGAAAATTTGTCACCGTGCTACGTGGCATTGGGAAAAACGTAAGTATTTATGCTTACAATAGCCGGATATCCAGGTCAATGCTCGATGACCCGGCTTTCTGGCTCAATAATACGCGAAAATTTATTCTGTTAGATTGAAATTACGCAAGTGCATTTTATTACAAATTAATTATTCCACGAGGAAAAATAATTGCATTGATTATTGATGTTTCATTGTTTATTACAATTTATTCGACTAATTGTAAGAGATTGAAAAATGTTGATATTATTGTATTATGGGATAATAATATTTTTCTCTTTTTCGGTATACAGCCTTTTATATTCTTTATATAGAACATATAATTATTACAAAAAATGGTGAAGCATTGGCAAAATATAATACTAATAAAAATGGCGCTATACTTAAGGGAATTGATATTTTTATATTGGTGTTTTGACTAAATAAATTGGAAAGGAAGGTAGATATAAAAGTAGATCTTTTCGTATTAAACATTTTTATTTATGTTGTTTATACAAAATGTAATAAAAGTGGAGATATATATGTGTATGTATATAAGATGGAATATTTGCTGTTGTGCCAATAATTCACAGTATTAATTATTAAACACAGTATTAATAATTAAAATTAACGTATTTTTTAAATTCTATTTTGTATTATGTATATATCTTGTTATACATATAGCATATATACCTTGAGATATTATGTATGAGCCAGGAAGTTTATTCATACCTGCTGATACTTATACGCAGATTCGTATGTGCGGTTGTTATCTACAATTGCATGCTGCACGTACCTCCATCAGATGGCAGCACCTCGTTAAAAACACCAACTGTTTTGACGATAATAGTTTAATAAGTGATTACATTTTTTTAAAAGCCGCATGAGTATTAACGAGAAAAGAATTGTACAGTGTTTCCTGAGCAGCATCACGTTCTTCTGTGTTTAATCTGTGTTAAAAACGAAGTTATCAATGAAAGCATAACGTATCAAAAAGCGTTACGGAAAAAGACTTTCAAAAACTGATATATTTATAAAGTTTTCCATTGAATGAAATCCGATAATAAGATATATTTCCTACAGGCGATATATAGCTTTAAAAGCGATGAATTGTTCCAATGGAAATAAATATTACATTACGAATGTTGATAATATTTTGTGAGGTTATGTTTTTGTTAAATCGAACATTTTTCAATCTCTGGTAAAAAAAAAAAAAAACACGTGGAAGAAACAGGAATCCCGCGTATGCCATTTAAATAATGTGCGACTAATATCGTATTTAAATACAGTTTTAAACAATCGTCGCTTTTTTCCTATTTGGATCAACGGAAAATCGTGAGTACGTTGGTCAATTATCTCATACTTTAAGTCTTGGCAAAATTTGTTACGTAACAATGTTGTAAGCCTTAATTGAACGACGAATTATCGTACAATCACGTTAAAAAGTACAATATAAAAATCACTCGCACAAAATTATTCTCATTAATGGGTGTAATGAATCTTTAACAGGAGTATATTTAAAAACACGAAAAAGAGCCTGCATTGGAGGGACCGAAAAAATGCTATTCAACGGAACATTCTTGTTTATGTACGAAATCTTTCAAGGATTGCGTAATACGTTCGCGCTAGTGACACGCTTTTTCTTTCCCGTTGCGGGAGTCGACTTCATTTTCTTCAGTTGTTTCTTCTTCTTATATTTCTTCTTTGAGGCTCTTTGAGTACGAGAATCGATGGAGTCGTTTTCCGACGAAAAACTGTCGCACAAAGGAACGATTAGGGGTTGCAATTGTATGTGGGATCGTGAATGCGATTGCAAATGCAATTGAGATTTCGTAACACTCGATATTTTTCCACCGTTAGAAACAGTGCAGGTGGCGCAACTTTTCCGGTGCTTCCTTCGAGATTCAATTTTGTGCTGTCGCGTTTGAATCTTTGAAGGTACTTCAAGCGTGACTAGTTTTAAAGAGTCTGCTTTAATTGTTAAAAAGGAAGTTTTGCGGTGGCACATTTCTTCTACTCTAGAATTTAGATTAACTATCTTCTGCCACTTCAGAGGAGACTTCTTTTTCCTTGGCTTCTGCTCAGCATCTTGCCGCTGCGATTCCACTCTCAAACTACTGTCTTTTGAACGCATCGTATCTTCACGTTTATATTTATTTTGTATTTCTTTCATGTTGTCTTCCGTATCAATATATTCGACAAATTGCAATTTTTTGCTGCCTCTGAAATAAAAATAACTTGGAACATTCGTCGATAATGTAACAGAGCTTTACGTACTTCAGTAATACTTTATTATTCATTTTATTTTTGGTTAACGCCATATTGGATATTCCCCAGCTTAATGGTCCCTTTGGAATAGGATGATGATAGTTGACTCTTTTATCGATATTTTCTGCGACGTTCAGTGGAACTCCCATCCATATTTGTTGCCGCAGTGAACTGAGCTTAATTTGTATATCTTGACTTCTTAACGAAACAGGCGAACGATGTCTTAATGTCCTACATAAATTAAGATTTAAACAAAGAAGCTTCCATTTTTTAAATCTACTTTGGTCAGAATATCTTATTTTAATATCCCTTTACCTAACCAAGCGAAGACAATGGGATCGTCTGTTCGCCTTCGGTTCTTCCTTATCGACATTGATATTCTCAGCTAAGGACATGCTACGAGGTCTCGCTATTTCCGGTAAGATTAATCTATCACTGGAGATTTCCTTTGTTTCTTTATCCACGAATTGATTAGTTTCTTCTTTGCAATTGTCGCGAATTCTTGCTGAGAAACCTAAACATAATTTCTTTTATTTCTTTCAATTTATATTTAATAATATTTCAATGGTGTGGTTTTACGTTCTGGCCTCGTCAGTCCTTCATCTGCTGAATCAATATAGTCACACAAATCGCTGCCAGGGTCCAGAGTTGGTAAATCCATTACTGCTCTTCTAGTCTAAATGTCAACCCGTCTAATTAGTAAGTACTCATTTCAAATGAACGTGTTTTACTTACAGAAAGAAAGTATCAAAGATATTTCAAATTTTACCAGCATTCGTTTGCGTCGAAGGTAGCTTCTGTTAACGGTGATTCCC